CAGAATATTCCCTAGGATGAGGACGCAACATCATTTCGAGTTCAAGCAACTTTTTTATCGAATCGATCAACTAATTTGTATGCGTACAGATCCAAGACGATGGGGTGCAAAGGCATGTCTCGCTTGCAAGGACTATAGATAACTGCGAAATGAGAATATTCTGTGTGTTCTTTGGCCGGAGATTTTGCTGGGTGGCACGATAGGACTGTGGCGCACATAGTAAGCGAGTAAAAATGAGATTCTCGGTTTTGGAACTGGAACGATCAAGCAAACGAAGACAAATATCTCATCACGTGCCTTGCACAGAACTCAGACTCGGACATCGGTCCGAACTTGTTTGTCGAAGATCGTGACAGTGCTCTCTACGGTCTGTGCTGAGTCCGGGTGTTGTGAAATTAATGATCTATGGTGCACATAGCTATTTTCTATAATTTGAAAAACAGAATCCCTAGGTCGTAGGCCAGCCGAGCTTGGTGGGTCAATGATGTGTAAAACATCGTTATAATTTGAGTGGAAGCTCGAACCCTGAGTGGTGCGCAATTAGATGTCTTGAATGCAAAGTGAAGTGGTGTGTGAACTGGAAATGAAGTTTCTGCCTTTGAATGTAGTTATTGTGAATGGTGAGGGACAAGCATCAATCCTAGCTTTTCAGTGACTCATAATGTAAATCACGATATCAGAAGTCATTAAATAGAATAATTCTATTGTGTGTATTGTATGATATACAAATGGGCTATGGTCCGCATAACACGAACAGTAACAGTGAGGATGAGCAATAGGAAAGAGAGAGGAACTTCAAAGATCGCTTATCGAAGATCCTCTCTTTCAGGAAGGCTTCGCCGACGAACGGATAAGCTCGACGACTAAGTCAGTCACCCCCTTGCATGTGCTCAAGCAGCCATAAGTACACTAACCACAGGAATGCTCGAAATGCAATGGGGCCATTGCTTCAATATCCTGTATTTCTCCCGCCGGAACAACCAGCGGACGATATCACGTTCGTGAACGAGTAATAGATAAGACGATATAATTTAGGGATGACTCGGAAAAGGATGTCAGCATGTGTGCTTCTCACCTGCTTAATCTGTACTTACAGCAATGACGACAGCGCCGTTTACTTTGCGAATAAGCTCCTCAGACTCGTCAACCAGAGATCTTGGGAGAGCCCTTTTCTAAACATAAGGAACGTAACCCCGTTCGAATTCAATCAACTCTTTCATCGATGGACTCTTGTGTACATGTTGTAAAGATCCGAGATGATGGGGTGCAAATGCATGCTTCCCTCCGAAAGCAATGGATAACCGAGACACGAGGATATTCGGTGACCTCTTTGACCAGCGCCTCTGCACCAAGGCGGCATTGCAGGAGTGTAGCACACAATAAGGCGATTGAAAATGAGAATCTCAGTTTTTGGAGTGCAAAATATCTCATCACGTGCGCCGCGCATGTACTTCGTCCGGATATCGGTCCGAACGCCATAACTTTGTACATTTATTTCTGAGTTTATCGTTATCGAACTGTCGAAAAGACATGTCAGCATTTGAGAAAGTCTGTATAAACTATATATATAACATGTGTAGAGATGCGGACCGAGAGAGGCGAGTAGCTGGATTCATTGATGTAAGGTGGAATTAAAAGGACCATGGATCACTGCCCCTTGTCGACATGATTACATCATGTAATGATCCAAGGGAGAGAGCATTGCTTTTCATGTTCATGTCTTTCACTCTGCCAGCTTTGTGATCAGCTTTCCGGTGTTCGCGCCCGTGAATAATCCGTTCCACACTCTTGGTATTTCCTCGACTTTTCCGTGGATGTCAACGACAGTCTCCGCTCCATCCAACACGAGCTTTCCTGCGACCACAGCTGAAGCGAGCGCCTCCTCAGCCTCTCCAAGTCGATCGAAGTAGTCATTGAGCGTGAAACCCTTCAGTAACAACCTGTTGACGAGTATTTGCCCGTAGTTGCGCATAGTTACAGGTGCCTGTGCGTCTTTCATATCTTGACAGATCTATTCAGTTGGAGTGTTTCGAAGGAAGGACGTTGAACTCACGAGCCATGAGTCCCACCGCACATATGACCCCGTGAGGCTTCATAAGCATCATCACCTCATCTAGCACGGTCCCGCCAACGATATCAAAGAATCTATTACGTGCGTCAATATCGGTGCCGACACAGTCCAGTCTCAGTTTACTTACGAGTCAACCTTATCGGGAGTTGCTTTCTTGAGTTCTTCAACAAACGTTGGGCTCTTATAGTTGACAGCTTCATCCACTCCAATACTCTTCAGCCACTTGCATTTCTCATCTGTACCAGCAATTCCAACGACACGCTTAACACCCATGACTTTCTTTGCATATTGAACGGCTACATTCCCGACGGCTCTGCAAGATGGTTAACAAAAGGCGTATTTTGAATCATTCTGGGGCTTACCCTGCTGCTGCGCTTACAACAAGCGTGTCAGTCTCCTTCAGCTTCAGCACACCCTTCAGTGCCCAGTATGCTGTTGCGCCCGATATTCCAAGGTTACCTAGATAAGCACTGATGCTGATACCGGGTATTTCCCTAGATCGATGCATCAGGAATATGCATAAGCGGCTCTAGTGTATTTAAACGCGGAACTCACTTTCTCGGTCTTGCCTTGTCTTTCTTCACAACGACATAATCTGCCCAGTAAGACTGGAATATCTCAACAATATTGCCAACTTTGTGTGGTCCGTTCTCGTCATTGCCACCAACTCGAACGATACGACCAATCGCTTTAAACATCGGGAAGGGCGAGCCAAGTGAAAGCGGGACTATATCTTCACGCTCGAACTTTATAGACTCTGCTAGAAGGAGGCGGAGGCCTGCGTCGTTGGAGAGATAGATCGTTTGAACGAGGAGAGAGTCCTCTGGAAGTGGATTAGGAATAAGGGTCTCCTTTACTGCGAAGGTCCCAGAAGGTGAGAAGGAGAGGTCAATATCGTGTTCAGCTGAGACATAATTCTGAAGAACTACGGCGCGAGCGGAAGTAGGACTGGATGTGGACATCGTTACTGAGTTACTTTATGGCGAATGCGTGATCTCTTGCATAGACTCTGCTTTAAGTACTATCGTACATTAATGAGAATCTGATATTGTTGTTGGACTTGCGTCAGCACTTACCAATTATGCCCTTAAGAACATAAGCAGCATTATTTAAGCCCCTGGGTCACATCAGGAACTCTCCAGAATTGGACAATTTATGGGTTTCAATCAATGCGACCTAATTAGAGGGGGTATAAGACCCTTATAGTCCTTCTAATTAGGCCCCTTTTTCATTATTTCCCTGTACTGTCAATAATACTAGACTTAAATGTACAAAAAAATTCTAAGTCAAAATAAAATAAAATAAAATAAGTATGCTGAGTGCCCTATATGGCAACTGTGCCCTCCCCATCTGCTACACCTTGAGCTCACTGTCTCATACAGTGAGCACACACTTTCCTCTGTATCTTACTCAATTCTTAACCAATTTTCTTCATTATTCCTTTAAAATTAATGTAAATTTAGTTGGAACTCATTCATAACACAAATGCAATGTTAAATATATCAATTACTTGTGTATTTGTGTACTATTTGTTAATAAAAAATACAACAGTTTCCTCTGACTAAGATTTATGATACTCTAAACTCTTAATACTGTAATAATAGTAGAGCTTATATATTTACAGTATATCCAAGAATTGAGTCTGTGTAATGTATACAAAGGAAGTTACACTATACTTTATATACTATAATTTGTTAGTCTCATATCTATGTAACCACAGTAAGTTATTAATATTAAGAGTTGG